TTTAGGGTTACGTTAAGCGTTAGGGTTAGGTTTAGGTTTAGCGTTAGGTTAAGGGTTAGGGTTAGATTTAGGGTTACGTTAAGCGTTAGGGTTAGGTTTAGGTTTAGCGTTAGGTTAAGGGTTAGGCTTAGGCTTAGGTTTGGGGGGGTTAGGTTTAGATTTACGCGTTAATTTTAAGTTTACCGCTCACAGCGTGCTGTTTTCGTCGTGCTGTGATGATGTCGTGTACGCGCTTTCGTCGAGCGCACTTTAGTATACCGCGGTTTTGTGGTGGAACCACCCCATCTTTATTTTGCAGAACAGAGGTGGAATACCTAATGCTCCCTCTTGTTTTCCAAAGAACATCAGCCCTGCAAGGTGGGTCAGACTAAGAGACAATAACTGGCTCAATCATCTAACCATCTATTTCTGTGAATAAATGGGGATCAGAGCCCTATGGTGTAAGGGTATGATTCACTTTTTTTTCCTACCTGTTCTGTGGGTGTGGCTTGGTGGGCATGGCAGGGGAAGGATACTGCAAAATCCCCATTTCCTCCCAATCAGCTGGGACTCGGGAGGCAGAAAATAGGTGGGGGTGGGGCCAGTCAGAGATGGTATTTACCTGTTCTTCGAACTACTCAAAATTTCCCCTACAGGTTCTTCAGAACTGATCAGAACCTGCTGAATACCACCTCTGTTGTTGTTTCTCAGTTTGTACTTCTCAGCAAGGGAGTAAGAGTCAGCTTCCACCACTATTTTTCTCTGACATTATTGGGGGCACAATTGTAGAGTTTCAGTGGTCCAGATCAAACCTCAGATTTCACAGCCTCTGGATACATTATTCATTGGCAGATTAACATATATTTGAGGCCGCAGGAAGAGCCACACTCCACCCTGGGAGCCCCACTGGGGCCAAAGATATTCGCAGATGGAGCTGCGCACTCAGACATCAAAGATTCCGGGCATCCTCAATGTCTCCAGCTACTCCAAGGGTTAAAGGGAGCAAGTGCTTCTCCCTGGAAAGGCTACAGTGAGGGGTGGGTGCCCCTTCCAGCCCTCTCCTTCGCTATCCTGGCAGATTCCCCTCAAAAAAGATAGCCCTTTGGGCCTCTTGGAATCTTTAGAAAAGAAACGTTGGAAGAGATGGGGCTAAGATTTTCTGTGTCTCTGAGGAGCAACTGAAGGAGAAAGCTGTTCTCTTCTAGTAAAATGATTGTAGCATTAGGGCAAGTTATTTCTCATTGCATATCTTGTATGTACTCTAAATGTCTCGTCCATTCCACCTAAAATGTGTTCCTTATTCATTTCTGTGACCCCTGAGAGGATTTCTGCAATCTTCTCTGCTAAATTCTCCTTTCTTCTCTTCAATGTTCTGAAATCTTAGGTAGAATTCAGATCGTTCCATCTCCCAAAGTATACTGGATCCATCTTGCTTTTTATGTTATCAGTCTATAATCCATCTCCATTTTTTTCCTGTTATTTCTGCCTTTTCTTCCATCTTCTGCAGTCTTTGCTTGTTTTCCCCCATCATTTCCTTGACTTCTTTCCACCTTGACCACATTCTCTTCTACTTTGTTTAATGGCTCCTTGAGATCCATGTATATGGCTTGCAACATACTTTTTAGCTCCAAGATGGTTTTATCTTGTTGCGTTGCTATGCCTGTTGCTTTCTGTGTCACTGAACCAGGTGGTGTAGCTGTTGGAGACGCATATGATGTTATTTTCTTCATCTTGGTGTTGGGTTCTGACATTGTTGTATTTGAGTTGTAATCAAATTTTATAATCCAAAGAATAAATTAGTAGATTGATTGCAATCCTGGAGTCGCCCACACAGCCCAAGCACCAGCCTCCAATAAACCAACCCGTTCTTGGACCCAGTCTTCACGTTCTTGCTACCTTAATCCATTCGCTTTATAATGCCAACGTGAAGTTAAAAAAAAGGAAAAAAGGAAACAAGAAAAAAGATGAGTGAAAAAGCACTCACCTCCCCCCCCCCCGAAAAAAAAAACCCACAAAATTAATTTCAGAATGGTAATCCACAACTCATTGCAAAAAAGCAGAAAAAAGAGATGGGGGAAAAAAAGGAAAGAAAAAGATAAAAATTTGGATAGGTAAAAGAGGACCCAAAGTAGCCAAATAAACAAAAGGAGAAAAAAAAGAACCTTTAGTATAGGTTGTCTGGGTTATCCAAGTTTCTTTTTCCAGTAAAAAAAGAAAAAACACACTGTCAGAAAGGCATTCTCAGCAGCCCATTATAATATAACAAGAAAGAGCAACACAGTGTTTACACAGCTGGTTTTATTTTCTTTCTTCTAGAGAGACTTTATCATCAATTTAGTATTGTCAGCAATAGCTCAAGGTCAATCCTTCTTAGCCAGCTTTTATTCAGCCAACATTTACTACTAGATGGCAATATAGACAATTAATTCATCATATTTTATTTTATTTTATTGCATTTATATGCCGCCCTATTACCGGAGGGACTCAGGGCGGCTAACAAATCAAAGGGAGGGAATACAGACAAGGGGGAAAAAACAACAAACAAGCAACTAGAAAAATAATTTAAAAAAACAATCAACAGCCACACAGTTCGAGTGGGGACGGGAACTTGTCAACCCCAGGAGTCTGACAGTTCTTCGGAGAGCCCCCCCCCCCAGAGAACATCCTGTTGCTGAGATTCAGGCCACACCCCTACAGCTTCTCCCCTGAGTGGATCTTCTTGTGAGAACTAAGATTACTGCTTTGACTGAAGGTCTTTCCACAATCCAGGCATTGATATGGTTTCATCCCAGTATGGATCCTTTCATGGGAACTAAGGGAAGCACTTTGGCTGAAACTCTTCCCACATTCCGTGCACTTATATGGTTTCTCCCCTGTGTGGGTCCTTTTATGGCCAGTGAGGGAACCACTGGTGGTGAAGCTCTTTCCGCAATCTGTGCATTTATACGGCTTCTCCCCTGTGTGGATCCTTTTATGGCAGGACAGATTTTTGTGTTGGCTGAAGCACTTTCCACACTCTGTACATCTATATGGTTTCTCCCCTTTGTGGATCCTTTTATGAGAAATGAGATCAGTATGCCTGCGGAAACTCTTTCCACATGCTGTACACTTATATGGTTTCTCTCCCGTGTGGGTCCTTTTATGGCCAGTGAGAGAACCACTGGTGGTGAAGCTCTTTCCGCAATCTGTGCATTTATACGGCTTCTCCCCTGTGTGGATCCTTTTATGGCAGGACAGATTTTTGTGTTGGCTGAAGCACTTTCCACACTCTGTACATCTATATGGTTTCTCCCCTTTGTGGATCCTTTTATGAGAAGTAAAATCAATATTCATACTGAACCTCCTTCCACATTCCATCCTTTTATATTTCTTTCCTGCATGAGACTTTTTATGCAAAGTAAGATCACTGCTTGTGTAGAAACTCTTTCTGCACTCTGTACATTTATAGGACTTCTTCATTCTATGAGTTGTTTTATGGAGGTTAAAAGTACTGCTATCACTAAAGCTTTTCCCACTGTCTGNCAAACAAACAAACAAACAATTGCATTATTTGCCTTGTTTGTGCTGGTCCCATTGTTCCTACCATTGCTCCACCTTTCTCCAGCCCCAATGCACTGTTGATAGATCTTTGGTTTGAGGGTGAGGATGTTGCTGATGCAGGGTTGGATGCTGTTTTTTTCCAGTCTTCATTAAATTAGTGCTAGTTGCCATCTTTATCCCTCTGTTTATCCTCGCCAACAGTTGCATACAAGTTCTACTTTACTTATACTTTATCTCAAATATCAGTGGTTATATATCTCAATATTTAACAATTAACCTTTCTTAATATCACGTTTCGATATCTAGACAATCCTATATATTATTCTATTTTTAATCCTTAACTATTATATATCACAGAATTATATATCACACTATTATCTTATGCAAATAAATATCTCTCAGTTATATCAGTTATACAGATATTCAGTTCTAATAATCAGTTTCTCTATGGTTTTCTTTCATCCACCTTATGTCACTGTCAATTCTTCTTGCATCAGCCTTTGTAGCTCAAATTTATAATCCACTAGATGTCGCCCTCTTCTCAGTATCACTGTTCATTCTGTCAATCACAATCAGTAATCACAGCAGGCCTGGGGGCAAAGACAGAACAAAGGGGGGGGGGATAAGAGAATTATCCAACCATTCCAAAACAGCTCTTTTTCTACTGTCCCCTGTCCAATTCCAACTCCCGAGGAGAGTAAATACTGTATATTTGTAAAATAGCCCCCTCCCCCCTCCAAAAAAAGCTTGAGCTCTTCATTACCTGCATTTATTGTTCACAACTGAAACGTTGTTCAAAGTTCAGCTATTCTTTGGAAAGAAAAAAGAGCAGAAAAGAGGGGGGGGGAACAACCAGTCTGACTCTTATACGATCCTTTGTGTGCCTGTCAGGTCTTCTCAACAGCCAATATATTCCGCTCCTGTTGTAAATGCCAGCTTTTGCTTTCTCTTCACTCTCCTATCGGGTTTCCCTCTACAGCCACTTCTGTTCTATTATTCACACTGCCACTTTCAGCTCTCCGCCTCAGCTCTCACTGCTTTTCGGCAACAATCCGGGCTGTAAAAACAGTCTTCACCACTTTTTCTTTCCAGCTCACCCGCTCTGCCAATTTCAGGTTGTCCTTCTTTTTTGGGTTGTTGATGATAACAAATGCCTCAATTTCAACTGCTTTCTCTATTCAGTTCCCTCCTATGCAGTCGCCATCGCTCCAGTCCTGTCCAAGTGACAAAATAGATCTTCATCCATTTAGTGGGTTTCTCCTACCCACTGGGGGGTTTGCCTTACCACCCCAGTGTCTCAGAGTTTCCCTCTGAATCTGCCGATCCCTTCAGGTTCCGCAGTGCTCAAAAGTGAGCCCAAATGAAAAAATTTGGGTTACGGGAGCTGCCATTCCTCATCCCCAGCGCGATGACGTCACCGCAGGAAGCCCGTATATTGTCTTTCTTTTGGGTGTCTTATTCTCCAAACATCTTGCAAATTTAATTCTTCCACCATCATGAAAAATGTTTTGGGTAGGATTTTTCTCGGCTTCTTGTTCATCTTTGTAGATTTATAATGTATTCCATTATTTACAATTGCATTAAAGTCTCCTAATATACATATACCTTCATGGTCATATTCTATTATCTTTTTTTTTTTAATTAATTTTTTTTTTTT